ATACAAGCATAGTTACAGGTATAAACGCTACTAAAGCTATGTGGCAGGACCCAAGAGCTTGATCTAGCTCCCCGTAGGCACAACCAGGGAATACATGAGAGCCCAATATGCTGAGGAACCTGTACACCAGTCGATTAATTGCTCAAAGGCGGGATCAATGAGCTCTAGGTTTTCTCCCGTCCCCCCCTGCAAGAACAATTAGGTCAGTACACATCACTCCCCCTTCAGAGGCGGACTCCCCTAATGGTGGCAATGTAAGACAAAAGGTAAAACAGATCTTGACTTTGTTTTCATTTTTTCAACGAGCAGTCAGCTTACTGGATACTTCATCCTGAGTGAACAGATTATCTGCAAAGTTCACGAATTACTTTCTTTGTAAGTTGATAATTACAATATTTAGCGGCAGCATATCTGGTAGTGAATGTGTAAGATGATGGTGAGCTGAGAGGGACACGGCTGAGTGGTGTTGGGGGGGGGGGGGGGGGGTGATGCTCTGACCTCAGGTCTGTGTGGCTGGGAGGGGGTGGGGGGGGGGAGCCACCCCAGGGGTAGGAGGGAAGGGGATGAGAACGAATAAAAGAAAAGAGTAGAAGGAAAGGGGGGAGGGAGGGAGAGGGAGAGGGAGAGGGAGAAGGAGAAGAGAGAGAGAGAGAGAGAGAGAGAGAGAGAGTGAGAGAGAGAGAGAGAGAGAGAGAGAGAGAGAGAGAGAGAGAGAGAGAGAGAGAGAGAGAGAGAGAGAGAGAGAGAGAGAAAGAGGGAGAGGAACAGATTCTTCCATCCCATCACACATGATGGGATGGAAGAAGACGGGAGGGCAGCATGCACAAGAGGGTGACTAACATCAGAGAGGAAGGGGAGAGAACAAGGGTGGAGAGAGAAACAGTGAGTGCAGGAGGTGGAGGGGGAGAGAAGGGGGATAAGAAAAGAGGTCAGAGAAAAGTGAGGAACAAAGAGTGGGGGAGAGGAGAGCGGGAGGGAGGGGTTCAGCACCACCTCCCACTACTCGCACTACACACTCCCTCGCCTCACGCACCGACACGCATACAATACACTACAAAATAATGTACTACACTTCAATACAAACTAAAGTAACTCAATAAACTTCACTACAAAATACTCCATTGCAAAATAAAACACAGTAAAACATATACTGTACAAGGTATGGGAGCGATGGCAGGCAGGCACAGAATCTGTACACCAGTTGATTGACAGGTGAGAGGTGGGACCAAAGAGACAAAGCCCAACCCCCGCAAACACAATTCGGTGAGTACAACTAACCCCAGAACACTAAAGAGCTTCCAGGCCAGGCCAGCCACCTGGGCATCACGCTGAGTGACACCGCCTGCACACTGCACACTTAATCTCCTCACTCAAGACAGTTAAGCAAATCCCAGCTGCGTCTGGCTACAAGTGACACCCTCCTGGGGAGCTTCTTCCTATTTGGGAGGTTGTATTTGTCCATGTCTTTTCCACGTCACATTTTTATCATATACAGGTACATGTGCATTTATGGAGCTGCGCTAGACCTGGAGCATGCCCGGGAGAGGGGAGAGGGAGTTCTTCTACTCCCCGAGCCCGGCCTGAACCCAGGCTCGACTTGTGATAACGTGGTCCAACAGGCTGTTGCTTGGAGTGGCCCGCAGGCCCACAAATCCACTATAGCCTGGTTGGTCCGGCACATCGTGCAAGAACCTGCCCGACCTCTTGAATACCTCCACCTTCGTTCCGGCAATATTTCTATAGCTTGCTGGGAGGGTGTTGAACAGCCGTGAACCCACGATGTTAAGAGAGTGCTTTCTGATTGTGCCTATGGCACCTCTACCCCTCAATGGTTCTGTTCTGCATTTCCTTCCGTATCTTTCGCTCCAGTATGTTGTTATTCTACTGTGCATATTTGGGACCTGGCCCTCCAGTATCTTCCATGTATATATTAAATGATATGTTTCTCGTCTACTTTCTAGAGAGTACATTTTGAGAGCTATGAGACGGTGCCAATAATTCAGATGTTTTATCGTTTCTATGCGTGCCGTATATGTTCCCTGTATTCCCTCTAACGTGAGTACGAGCAATATTGAAGTCGGGACAGCACCAGTGATTGAAATAGTGTTAGCATTGCTGTGGGGTCCCTGGATTTGAACGTAGTCAATATGAAGGGGGTTACATAGTGTGTCAAGAACTAGCTACGTGATGCTAAAGATCCCCATCTCACAGGGATGGTTACAGGGCCCCTGTGATCAGTAGCCTGCACTGGAAAAGTTATCCTCAAGAACACGGGAGTTAACAAGGTGATTGCAAAGTTTCAGAAACCTCATGTATTCACCTAGTTGTGCTTGCGGGGGTTAAGCTCTGCTCATTCGGCAGAGCCCTTCATGTCTGAAGGATTCGATAACTGGGCATTCAATACTGTAGTGTGTGCGAGATAATGACTAGTTCCTGCACAGAGCTGTGCAGGATTGGGAGATTCATCACCTGTAGCCACCAGCCACAGATAACGGTAGCCATCTGCTATATGTAACGGTAATCCAACCAGGGCAGCACAGTCTGGTGGACAATTTGTGCTGCTCATATACATAGGAGTCAGATCTAAACAAATTATAGTTTTTTATACGGATGCTTTCAGGCCTTCAGGAGTCAGTAATTTGTCTCCTATATGAGACCTGAGTGTTTTGAAGCATATAGTGTTAACATCAGAGATGTGGATATCTGGGTGGAGTTGAACTTCATCCATGCTGCCCCTCAGCACCTCGCCTGGATGTTCTTAACTCTGGATAGCGCCAACCAATTACGACTATAATGCACCTGGAAGGGGTTAGAATATAGATTTAGGATGGGACGGGGGGAAGCAATGGTGCCCAACCATTCGGACGGTCGGGGATTGAGCGCAGACGTACCTGAAGCGTGACCATCGCTCTACCGTCCAGCCCAAGTGGTTGGGATGGACGGTAGAGCTCTTAGGAAATGAAACGCTCTATTAAATTAATCTTAAGAATTTAAAACCCCTTCACTCATTGTTTTAACAATAAAACACTACACGAATATCACTTATGAAACAAAAGCGACCTCATACTTGAGAACAAAAACAACAACAATACATAGTTCATGATGTTCAACAACATGAACCTCCCTACGAGCGACAACTGGCAACTATCTCCAGGCTTTAATATGTACACAGACTTTTGTTAAGGAAATTCCCCGACTCCCGTGGATCTGGGTGGTGTTGGGCTATGAACCTCTCGAGGGATATTAAGGCCACCACAGTACCTTACTGACCAGCAAGTATATTTCTGTCCTCAACATAGTCTAGGTCAAAATTAAACTTTCAGTGTATATACACAAAGAAATGGCGTACACCTCTGGGTGTACCCCATTTCTGGGTATACATATCCCTCCTCTCGTGGAAGAAAGAGTGCGCTTCAAGTTTCCCCCAGAGTCCCGTGTCCAAGTCTCCGGGCGGCCATCTTGCCGGGATGGGCTCGGGGCTGCGTCTACCTATTGATTTATCTCTATATGTGGGGTGCGCCTCCCTCGCCCCTTGTAAGGAAACCCAACTGCGCTTCCCTTTCTCCCTTTATTACACCGGATCTCAAACCACATCTTACACGTACAAGGACAAAAATTAACTTTTTTTTTTGTAAACCCATTTAGTAAGCTTCAGGCAGACAGGTATTATTTCACCTACAAGGAACTCTTACTCATACACGAACAGACAGGCACAGGCAGAAGTGGCGAGGAGAGGTATAATGTATGAAGGAAGTCAACCCATGCAACACTACATGTGAGTCAAAACACACAATTTAACTACTTAAGGTAAAAGTAGAAACGGCTGGAGTGACTGTGCACATGCGGCTCAGGCTTGGGTAGAAATATTACTGGGAATATGGAGTAGGTGTTCATGATAATGACACCAAGTGTAAGCTATGTAGTGTGTTAAGGTCTCACACCTTCACTCATTATGTTCTGGATTCTCCGTTGATTAATGTATATAGAAACACTGAGATAAAGACTGTTCCTGAACAAATTGCCTGGATGTGTCACAACGGAAAGGTTGATGATATTCTGGAGAGATACAAGAATTCTGCACCAAGATTGTAACCTTTTGTTGAATTGTCTGAATGTCTATTGCAAATTGCCTGTGTACCTAGTCATAAATGTGTTTGTGTGTACGTCTGGTAACATACTGCATGTGTAAAGGAAAAAATGTATATGTTTATCACTCAGAATGTTCAGTAATATGCTTTTTGTTTGTGATGTGTGTCTATATACATATATAAATATATATAAACACGTTGTACTGAACGGGGTGAGAATTCATTTAGCTACCTCATCCCTTTGTGTGTATTTATACCTCAATAAACTTATTTGAATTTCAATACACGAACACCTCAACCCCCCCCCCCTCCCTCCCCACACACACAAACTGAACCTATGCCAACAAATGGTCTCTACCCTCACAAGAGGATCTCCAGTGCTGCTTCTCCTCGTCAACAACAAGGGTGATGGCGGTGGCGGTCTGTCAGTGCAGCAAACCTAAATCAGTAATGTTTACTGCTGGACGATATAGAGAATTCGACTGTCGCAGCTCTGCCTGGGCTTACCTGATGACTGCCTGGTCCGAGGCTGTATGTCCTCGTAGCCCACAGACCCACACAACCATCACAGCCTGGCTGATACCCTAACGCCAGCGGAAACTTGACCAGTCTCTTGAAAACTTGCACCGTTATTCCAGCGACATTGCGTTGGTGGGAGGTGGAAGACCTCAGATCTTCATGGTGTCCTCCCCTAACTGTGCTTAAGGCGCCCTCGACTTTCATTGCAAATGTTTTACATTTGTTATCCTATTTCTCATTTCTGTATGTTGTAATTTTAGAGTTCAGGTTTGGGTTGTGGCCTACCAGGGTGTGTTGTAGAGTTCGTGACACTCTCATTTGTAACTGGCAGTTGCTCTTGTACTCTACAATATGTGTAATGGCAGTTGTGGTGTGTGGAGTGGAAGTTGCGAGATGTCAGCTGGAGATATCACCGAGTCAGGTAAGGAAGTGCACAGAGGAAGGCAGGAGAGGTCACCGAGGAAGGCAGGAGAGGTCACCGAGGAAGGCAGGAGAGGTCACCGAGGAAGGCAGGAGAGGTCACCGAGGAAGGCAGGAGAGGTCACTGAGGAAGGCAGGAGAGGTCACCGAGGAAGGCAGGAGAGGTCACTGAGGAAGGCAGGAGAGGTCACCGAGGAAGGCAGGAGAGGTCACCGAGGAAGGCAGGAGAGGTCACCGAGGAAGGCAGGAGAGGTCTCTGAGGAAGGCAGGAGGTCACTGAGGAAGGCAGGAGAGGTCAGCGAGGAAGGCAGGAGAGGTCACCGAGGAAGGCAGGAGAGGTCACTGAGGAAGGCAGGAGAGGTCTCTAAGGAAGGCAGGTCACTGAGGAAGGCAGGAGAGGTCACTGAGGAAGGCAGGTCACTGAGGAAGGCAGGAGAGGTCACTGAGGAAGGCAGGTCACTGAGGAAGGCAGGAGAGGTCACTGAGGAAGGCAGGTCACTGAGGAAGGCAGGAGAGGTCACTGAGGAAGGCAGGAGAGGTCACTGAGGAAGGCAGGTCACTGAGGAAGGCAGGAGAGGTCACCGAGTCAGGCACTAGAGGTCACTGAGGAAGGCAGGAGAGGTCTCTGAGGAAGGCAGGAGAGGTCACTGAGGAAGGCAGGAGAGGTCACCGAGTCAGGCACTAGAGGTCACTGAGGAAGGCAGGAGAGGTCTCTGAGGAAGGAAGGAGAGGTCACTGAGGAAGGCAGGAGAGGTCACTGAGGAAGGCAGGAGAGGTCACCGAGTCAGGCACTAGAGGTCACTGAGGAAGGCAGGAGAGGTCACTGAGGAAGGCAGGAGAGGTCACTGAGGAAGGCAGGAGAGGTCACCGAGTCAGGCACTAGAGGTCACTGAGGAAGGCAGGAGAGGTCACTGAGGAAGGCAGGAGAGGTCACTGAGGAAGGCACTAGAGGTCACTGAGGAAGGCAGGAGAGTTCACTGAGGAAGGCAGGAGAGGTCACAGAGGAAGGCAGGAGAGGTCACTGAGGAAGGCAGGAGAGGTCACTGAGGAAGGCAGGAGAGGTCACAGAGGAAGGCAGGAGAGGTCACTGAGGAAGGCAAAAGAGGTCACTGAGGAAGGCAAGAGAGGTCACTGAGGAAGGCAGGAGAGTTCACTGAGGAAGGCAGAAGAGGTCACTGAGGAAGGCAGGAGAGGTCACTGAGGAAGGCAGGAGAGGTCACTGAGGAAGGCAGGAGAGGTCACTGAGGAAGGCTGGAGAGGTCACTGAGGAAGGCACTAGAGGTCACTGAGGAAGGCAGGAGGTCACCGAGGAAGGCAGCAGAGGTCACTGAGGAAGGCACTAGAGGTCACCGAGGAAGGCAGGAGAGGTCACCGAGGAAGGCAAAGAGGTCACTGAGGAAGGCAGGAGAGGTCACCGAGGAAGGCAAAAGAGGTCACTGAGGAAGGCAGGAGAGGTCACTGAGGAAGGCAGGAGAGGTCACCGAGGAAGGCAGGAGAGGTCACCGAGGAAGGCAGGAGAGGTCACCGAGGAAGGCAGCAGAGGTCACTGTGGAAGGCAGGAGAGGTCACCGAGGATGGCAGGAGGTCACTGTGGAAGGCAGGGGAGGTCACTGAGGAAGGCAGGAGAGGTCACTGAGGAAGGCAGGAGAGGTCACTGAGGAAGGCAGGAGAGGTCACTGAGGAAGGCAGGAGAGGTCACTGAGGAAGGCAGGAGAGGTCACTAAGGAAGGCAGGAGGTCACTAAGGAAGGCAGGAGGTCACTAAGGAAGGCAGGAGGTCACTAAGGAAGGCAGGAGGTCACTAAGGAAGGCAGGAGGTCACTAAGGAAGGCAGGAGGTCACTGAGGAAGGCAGGAGAGGTCACCGAGTCAGGCACTAGAGGTCACTGAGGAAGGCAGGAGAGGTCACTGAGGAAGGCAGCAGAGGTCACTGAGGAAGGCAGGAGAGGTCACTGAGGAAGGCACTAGAGGTCACTGAGGAAGGCACTCGAGGTCACTGAGGAAGGCAGGAGAGGTCACCGAGGAAGGCAGCAGAGGTCACTGAGGAAGGCAGGAGAGGTCAGCTACAAGACACAACCTTCCCTCACCAAACATTCGTTTAGAAAACTCTTTGATTCATCAAACGTCGCCCTAATAACACTTTGTTTACATCCAGGCCTCTAATAAGCCATTCCAAGCCGGGCTCGGCACGCGACCCTCCACCACCAGGGCTAACAACTAACAACGCACCCAACTCTCAACTAATCTCATTTCTGATCAAGTAAACTGTTTTATTCTGTAGTCCGGCGATAACACGTCACAATGAGAGAGCACAATTAACATACGAGCTTTCAAACCAGAATATCCACGAAAACTGGCTTTGTTAATATAATGAAAAATTCGTCTATTACGTAATATAATGTGGCGCAGGTGAGCGGCGCCTGGGAACGGTGACCGCTGCCTCGGTACGCCGCCGCTGTGCTCCTTCCCAGCCTCTAGGGTGTTACCGCCACTCCGAAAGTAGTTTTTATTCTCATTACTTCTATAGCTTAGGGGGTGGGTGAGTGAGTGAGTGAGTGAGTGAGTGAGTGAGTGAGTGAGAGAGTGAGAGAGAGAGAGAGTGAGAGAGAGAGAGAGAGAGAGAGAGAGAGAGAGAGAGAGAGAGAGAGAGAGAGAGAGAGAGAGAGAGAGAGAGAGAGAGAGAGAGAGAGAGAGAGAGAGAGAGAGAGAGAGAGAGAGAGAGAGAGTGAGAGTGAGAGTGAGAGTGAGAGTGTGTGTGTGTACTCACCTATAAGGTGAGTACACACACACACACACTCACTCTCACAGGTACTTGTTCTCTTACAAGTAAACATATACACTTGTATTTTTACAAGTAAACATGTACTCTTGTTCTCTCGTGTTCACGAGAAAACACCAATATCAGACTCATATCAGAGGCAGATTCCATACACAGTTTCAAATGTAAATATGATGGAGCTCAACAGGCTTAGGAATTTGTACATCAGTTGATTGAACGTTGTGAGGCGAAAGAGCCGAAGTTCAATCCCCACATGCAAAACTAGGTGAGTATATATATTCTCTCAGGTAACTAAATAGTCTAGATCAGAGACCGGATAGAGAAGAGGGTTGCAACAGAGAAGGACAAGGAAATGTGTGAGTCACTAAACAAACGTTTCCAGAAATTATAATTTGATTCAAGCGCTACAGTATGACACAAATCAATACAAATTGGCCGTTAGATAATTTCCTCTTGAGAAGTCGGATAAGGAGACATAGGTTTCAAGTAGGCGTGCAGCGAGTCATAAAGGATCTTGAGAATGCAAACTGTAACATCTACAATAGAGTTATGTGTAGCACAGCACAACATATCCAGAATGATGTTCTTCAGAGTTTACACATCAAAATGTAGTGGTGCACAGTTATGGTTATCATCCATAGAAACCAGGAGGTTCCGTGGGTGTATTATGTCAGATAGGGAGAGCACAGGGACTAGCGGAGGATGTTGTAACGTCGGTCCTACCATAAGACACAACAAGTCTCGACAATAATGTTATCTTTATGACACCTACGAAGTATGTGGAGCTTTTCAGTAACTACCCCGAGAATCAGTACCACACAGACCCCTGCGGGACACCCACACTGGGGTCGTGCTCAACTGGAAGGTTTGGGGTCGTTGTTACTGGGCGACCTCATCGGGTTCAGATATGTGGAAAGGGTAATTAGTGGTAATTACCCTCTCCTCATCACAAGGTAAGTCACAAGGTTAAGGACTTGGATATGATTAGTTGTGGCTATACGTCATAAGGCTGATAATTACAGCGGTATTAGTGACGTCAAAGGTGTTGGTGGCATAGGTTAGGCGAGACGAGGGGGTGCAGCCGTTCCCTGCACCACTGGCCTCCACCTGCTGGAGGAGCGGCCACACCTCATAACCTCACACCGTTGGAGTTGGCGGTGCCCGCCAGCATGCTGGAGGTAGTGTAAGAGAACGCTATGTTTCCCCTGCAGGCGTTCACGCACCGCTCCTGTGCCAGGTAAATCCACTACGGGCTCACCATCGCCCGTGCTACATGGAACTTGTTCCAAGTAGCTGAATCTATAACAACAACCCCTGCAGGTCTTACGGGCTATTCATGCCCGTGCCACCTCTTGGGTGGCTTAATCTTTATCAATCAATCACCTGCAGGTGAGAGATGGCTGTGGTAAGTCTCTCCAAGGAACACAATAACGCCTCTATAAGGTAACAAAACAACCTTACTATTTTGTATCTTTATTAGCTAAAATAATACGCACCTGGCTTTTCATACTATATATGAATATATATCTAGGCATGTGAAACAGCCTAATTCTAAAAAAAAAAATCATTATAATTTAAACATTAAACCCCAGCTACAACCTAGTGGTGGTACAGTAAGAGGTTGTCTGTAAGGTACAGTACAAAAGCATCACTACAAAACGCTAGGAGGCTACTGCGGGTGGGAACAGGAGCGCCCTGGGGCGCTGTTATACTCATCCGGATTCACAAAGATTCGTATCGTGTCTTCCTTCTACTCCTCAACTAGGGCGAAGTCATGCACTTCGATTAGTCTGTATGCAACTGCAGAACCTAATATTTAGTCGTCCAACAAATTTGAGTTTTAATTTAATGCGAGGCATTCTTATAATCCCAAGTTAAGAGGGTGAATGAAGGCAAGAATGTGTATGAATCCAGAGGGCTGGTGGGCCGGACTTAGGTAGCCCGGCCCCACCTAACTTACCTAAATGTTACGTCCAACTGTCAGGAGGTATTGCAGTGTCATTGTACACGTGTAAACCATGACATAGGTATAAAAAATACAAACATATATGACCAGGGCGACCCAAAAACTATGAATCAAGCGGGTACTAGATCGTTGAGGAACAGGTGTGACCATAACCTGAGACACGGCTGCCAGCACACACACAAAGTGCACATCCACAACCTTCCCCACACACCCTACCTGTGCTTACATCATCTCCCTAACCATCCTCACGCCACATTTACAAAGGCAAAACGATAACAATGTCTTAAATGTCTCTTGTGGCTGACTGACATTACTCTGACCAGCGTACACTTGGATAAATATGCAGGTTGGGCAACGACAGGATATTTGTTGAAGTGGTGCTCTGCACTAGCGGCGAGATGGTGACCTTGGAGCAGTGTTGCCGAGATGATTATCTTGCACACCAGCAGTGCAGCATCCCACAGCGCGCGCCCACACTGTGATTACTTCAGTCCTTCCTCTACACCTAGCGGCCAACTTTCACCTCTCAACAGCTACTTCACAGCGTAGGGAGAGCCACGCTTGGGGGTGTGCGCCTCCTTTACCTTAGTGTTGGAATGTTGACTAATCCACACACTAGGAAATGAAGGGACGACGACGTTTCGGTCCGTCTTGGACCATTCTCAAGTCGATGAGGGACGGACCGAAACGTCGTCGTCCCTTCATTTTCTAATGTGTGGATTGGCCAACATACTTCAGCCACGTTATTGTGACTCATCGTCTCCTTAGCGTTGGAATATTCTTATGACTGTTTATTACACTGG